AACGCCTATCAGAACAGCAACAAGAATAGAGTATAGTTTAAGGGGCTTTTGGGGTGACATCAAGCGTACCAACATTGACATCATAGAGGTACCAGAAAAAAAGGAGAGAGTAAGAAACCTATTTGAGAAAATAATGACAGAAAGCTTCCCTAACATGGTGAAGGAAATAGACATACAAGCCCAGAAAGTGCAGAGTCCAAAACAAGATGAACTCATTGAAGCCCACACCAAGACACAACATAATTAAAATGCCAAAGGTTAAAGAGAAAGAATCTTAAAAGCAGCAAGAGAAAAGCAGTTAGTTACTTCCAAGGAAGCTCCTATAAGATTGTCAGATACTATTTCTCAACAGAAACTTTGCAGGCCAGAGAGACTGGCAAGAAATATTCAAAAGCATGAAAAGGAAGGACCTACAACCAAGATTACTCTACCCAGCAAAACACTATCATTTAGAATCGAAGGACAAATAAAGAGCTTCCCAGACGAGAAAAAGCGAAAAGAATTCATCACCGCCAAGACAGTATTATAAGAAATATTAGAGAGACTTCTTTAAGAAGAAGAAAAAAAAAAGATAAAAATATGAGTAATAAAATGTCAATAACTACATACCTATCAACAATTACTTTAAATGTAAATAGGTTAAATGCTCCAATCAAAAAACATAGTGTGGCTGAAAGGATAAGAAAATAAGACCCTTACACATGCTTCCTACAAGTGACTTTAGATCAAAAGAAATATTCAGACTGAAAGTGAAAGGATGGAAAAAGATAGTTCATGAAAAAAGAAGCAGACAAACAGACAAAGAGCTGGCGTAGCAATACTTATACCAGACAAAATGACTTTAAAACAAAGGCTATAACAAAAGACAAAGAAAGACCCAGTAATTCCACTTCTGGGCATTTATCCAAAGAAAGCCAAATACTACTTTGAAGGGACATGTGAATTCATATGTTTATTGCAACATTATTTACAATAGTCAAGATATGTAGGCTATCTTTGGTGTCCATCGATAGATGAATAGATAAAGAAGAGGTAGTACATATATACAATGGAATATTACTCAGCCATAAAATACAATGAAATTTTGCCATCTGCAACAACACGATTGGAACTTGAGGCTATTGTGGTTAGACATTTATATAATTTACAAAGTGATCCCCTGATTGGTCTAGTACCTACCTGGCACTATACATAGTTAGTACACTATTATTGACTATGTTCCCTATGCTGTACTTCACATCCCTATGACTATTTGTAACTACCAATTTGTACTTACTAATCTCTTCCCCCTTTTCACCCTTTCCTCCAAACTCCCTCCCATCTGGCAATCACCAGTTAGTTCTCTGTATCTATGAGTCTGTTTCTGTTTTACTTGTTCATTTATTAGATTCCACATACAAGTGAGATCATATGGTATTTGTCTTTCTCTGTCTGACTCATTTCACTTAGCATAATACCTTCTTTACTTTTAAAAATTGTTTTCGTTATATCTCTTGTAACTTTAAGTGATCTGTATTTAAGTTCCTTGATTGTTTCTTCTGAATGCTCTAGTCTGCAGTTGAAATCCTCTGGTGGATTTGCTATTTAGTCATTGTATTCTTCAGCTCCAGAATTTCTGTTTGTTTCTTTCTTATGGTTTCTATTTCTTTGTTAAACTTCTCATTTTGTACCTTATTTTATTTTATTTTATTTTATTTTATTGTCTATCTGTGTTCTTTTATCTCACCAAGCTTCTTTAAGATGATTATTTTGAATTCTTTTAAAGGTAGTAAATCTCTATTTCTTTGGCAACAGCTAGTGGAGTGTATTTTGTTCCTTTGGTGATATCGTATTTCCCTGGTTCTTCATATTTTTTCAAACCTAGCATTGCTGTCTTTAAATTTGAAGAAACAATCACTTCCTCCAGTCTTTACTGACTAGCTTCATTTAGCCCAGCTAGGGGTACTGGGGGTCTCTCAGATTCTGTTTATGAATGCACTTGCTCCATTATTCTTCTTCTCCCCTTCCCCTCCCCGTCTCCCCGCAATTCCCAGGGGAGAAATCTTAGACTGTGTGTCTATTCTTGATACCACAAACCTAGGCTGGGTACTGAGAGCCTCTTTATTTTCTCTAGGGAAATGCCCTAAAGTGTTTAATGTTGTGTACCTTCTGCCAATCTAATAGATCTAGATGGATGCTGGTATTTATGTGCTATATGTGAGAGCTCGCATGCATCATTGGAAGGGATCATGATGTATTGGCTCCAGAAGTGGGTAGTGCCTGGAATACTAAAGATGCACTTCTGCCAGTTGTGAGATCTGCAGGTAGGGATCCTACTGGGATCATGGATGTGGCTCTTATTAGAGTCTGCAATTCATTTAGTAGGATCTGCTGGTAGTTGAGATTGTGCATTGGTTGCTATGAGCACCAACCCCTTTATTCTGCTCTTAGCTGTCCCCAAATAATTCAACTGTCCTAATCCCCTCAGTGTTCTGGGTGTGAAGAGTTGGAAATGGGCTTCTTAGGCAGCATCCTACAAGGCTGAGGAAGCTGAGCGCTCACTTTGCTCTCTGTGGGAGAAATCATGGGGCAAAGTGGTCTCTAGGCCCTGAGCTATGCTGCCTTGGGAGAAAGGTGACATGGGTAAAGTGAATCTGTCCCTCTTATCTTCTTTAAAACTTCTATTCTTTCATTTTTTGCACTTCTGAGGTGCTGAACTTCTCAGCTATACTCCCAGGCCTCCATAAAGTTATTCTCATTCATGAATCATTGTGGAAATCACTCCTATTTCATCATCTCAGTGATGTCCAGAAGAGATAATTCTTTATTTCAGTATGTCTCAAACATCCAATGTTTATTTCATAGAACATTCAAGTTATTTTTTAAAAACTTACCTTTTTATTGATTTGATGACAAGGTTAGTGAAAACTTTTTTAGGGTGTGAATAGGAAGACAGTAGTTTTAGGGTAAATTGAGAAGCCTATGTGTGGGTAACAGAATAGGCAATGGTTTGAGTTCAGATAAACTGGAAGAATCTGAAAAGTCTTAAATGTCAAGCATGCAAAAATCCAAAGGCTGGAATAGTTTGAAGAATGGCCTTGTAGAGCAGGAAGTGGAATGAACTTAGTCCTATAATAGAGGCTGTTTTCTGACATACAATTACATCTAAAAACCTTGAAATTACTAGTTTCTTCTTGCAGTTCTTATAGTCAAACATTTCAAATTTAACTTTTTGTACTCTTACAATACTAGAGACATGTTAACTGTTCCTATTACATCTTCTAATTTCATATGAACAATCGTAGAACAATTGTGTTACCTTCAGTGTCTCTTCTTAGTGATGGTATCATATTAGAGGTACATTTTCAAAAAAACGTTTTTAATTGGTTTAATTATTGTTATGAAACATTGGAGTGGAATTGTACTAAATTAGTGAGCCAAAGGAAGATATGGTAAAAAAAAAAAAAAAAAAGTGAGTGAAATTAAGAGGTAGTTTTAAATGTAAATTAATCCTTGACTGATGGCCAAAGCCTATCCATGATTGGGATTATTGTCTCATCAAAAAGATTATGTATTAGATAAAGAAAATGTTAAATTTTGCATTTGTAAATTTATTTTCCTTTTTTCCTTACTTTTTTTCTATGTAAAAAAGAGTTTATATTTTATTTATTATAACATATAATATGTGAACATTACTCAGTACTAATTTTCTTTTTTTCTAATTGTTTTAACTATTTCTTTTTCTGTAATAATTTTCTCTTTCTAGTTTGGCCCTAGAATTATAGCATTAAAATTTTATCCTGGCTACTTTTGATATTTATCATAATGTAATATAATGATCAATGTAAGATTATATATATACACACAACATACATATACTTTTCACTATATCTGTATATATAAAATTTAATTATAAAATTACGCACTCTGAAAATAAAATATTTTCATTGTTTATGTTTGTGTGCATGTGTAGATTTACACATATGCACACATTTTGAAGATTATTTCATGATTTAATTTTATGTTAAGGGTTATTCAGAGAGCTTTTATTTGATGCTAACTCTTTTTCCAGTTACAACATTATGTCTAAACTTTAGAAAGGCTTTTGCTCTTGATGTATTTTAATAAAGGACCCTTAGAGCCTCAAATCTTCCATCTTTTCTTCAGAGACTATAGATTATCTTGACTTCTATTGCTTGAAGACTTATATCTAATGGAAACCTTAAATATACCATGTCAGTTTCCAATAGTGGAAAATAGCTGGAAGTTATAATAGATAACAGGACAATGGAGTTTTACTTTTTCAATGAATAATTACAATTCAGAATTCTCTTTGATATGTTAGTGTTAAAGTTAATTAGAGTGTATGATTTCCAGTGAGGAATAATAGAAATAATACTGAATTGGGTATTCTAAGACCTGGATACTTGTCAGAACTTCACTGTTTATTTGCTCAGTAACTTTGGGCAAGACAGTCTCACCTTCACTCACTATCAGTTGAAATGTGTGGTTAACAATGTTTTTACTGCCTACTTCTTTATAGTATTGTCAGAATATGATTATATATGGGGAAATATTATGTAAACAATGAAGTTCTATATAAAGACGACTATTGTAAATAATAGTTAATGTGCAAGGCATGGCATTAAACATTCATATTGTTCTTATAACAGTTTTATGAGACAAGCAACACTAATATATCAACTTTAAAGATCAGGAAGATGAGGCTCGGAGTGCATGAGACACCTGAGTTAGCTCGCACTTTTGGTGAGAGGGAAAGGCAAGATTTGAATACAGGTTTGTCTGACACTAGAACTGATGCTGATAATTGTACAATTTTTGTCACTCTCCTTAATAATAATTGCTACATAGAATTATGCATAAACTGGGGGAGGCAGTAAAATTGCAATTCTTTTTATTATTATATCTGAATTCTAAATGTAAAAACAAAATAATATTTATTTTTTTATAAAAATAGAATGCTGTGGAGTTCTAACTATCCAAATGTGTTTTTCCTTTAGAATTTAATTGTCTTGGATCCACTCTCAGTGACTGAGGAGGAAATAAGACCATCACTAGAGAAACGTCTTGAAGCCATTATCAGTGGGGCTGCTCTTTTGGCTGATTCTTCATGCACGAGGGATTTCCATCGAGAGCGGATTATTGCAGAATGCAATGCCATTCGCCAGGCTCTCCAAGATCTGCTTTCAGAGTATATGAACAATGTAAGTAGCTGGTTTCACCTATTCCATATGTTGGGTATGTGCTGAGTTTCTTTCTGTGTACAAATGTGATAAATTACAAATTAGTAGATGATTTTAAATAGATTGGCTTTTTGAGTGGGTTCTCCTTAGGTTGCTCACAGGATACAGCAGTGAGATAGGAGTTTCAAGGGATGGAATCCAGCCAGAAGGTTATTTGCATATGATTGTTTTGTTAAATATTAGTTGAAGAAGGGCATCAAGATTGGAGAAAAGGAACTGGAGTTGCACATCAATTTAAAGGATGAAAACAAGATGAAGAAAAGGGCAGGTTGCTCAGAATGAAGTTGGTGAATATCAAAGTTAAAATTTAGATAGTATCAGATAAAGTCAGTGCTTCAGGGATCAGGGACCATTTTTCAAGGTGTAAAGAGCTCATATAGTTTGGATAGCTCTTAACTTTTTTCAAATGCAACATTATGTCTTTTTTTTTTTTTTGCAATTTTATCTAATCTCTCAGGAATATTAGAAATGCTGTTTAAATTTAGACAAATGCAAAAATAGTTGTTTCAAGATCCTTTTTTGTTTCATTTGATATATAGCCTTCATATATATGTATAGCTACATTTACTTGGAATATCTATCACTATCCTTACATTTAAATCTTAGTGTCACTTTTAAAATGAAGAAGGAATTCTTGAAGACATTGTCAACTATATAGTGGTCATGAAGCCTTATTAAATAATAGAACTCAACAAAATGTTTTGTTCATCTGCCTTATTATAAGTGGAATGATTCAAGGGTTATGAAGGTATGTTTTGAAAATTCTTAGTTTCATATCATATAAATTTCGGGATGTGAAACTGAATAACTTGGACTGTTCAGTATAAGTAATTTATGTAAATAATTGAAATGTCCTAAAATTAGTATTAAGGACCCTTCAACACATTTGCTATATCTCTGTACTCTTAATATTTGGTGACTTTGGCTCCTGACAAACAATTTTTTGCCTTTCAAGAAATCAAAGTTGTAAAGCAGGTTTTGTTAATAAGGAGAACATATTAGTAATGTCATGTCCTGCTTCTGAAGCTATAATAACCTTATTTCTAGCATATAATACATTCTTCATGAAAGATTTTTTAAGAGAATACATTGGTTACAAGAAACTCAGAAGATAATATTGTTTTGGAATTTCTTCTCCCTTGATCTGTAAGCTATTAAATTTGTATTCTCTCTTTATAGATACAGATATAGTAAAGTTACATGTAAGTTTTATTTTTTCTATAAATTATAAAATTATAGATAAATTCCCTCTACCAAATGTAGATAGAGTTATTTTATTCTTTTAGATACAAACACAAACGGATGTACATACATATACTCAGCTCACGTGTAAAGGAAGGGTTGGTTATGTAATTGTGGAGCCCAGTGCAAAATGAAAACTCAAGACCTCTTCTTCAAAAATAGGAGGAAGAAAGCAGCTTTTTCTATAGTTTCAATTGATTTAATAAAGGTTATTTTTATTTACTATTTAATATTAAGTTCTCTAGGGCATAGAGTTACTGTAGGAGCTTGCAGGCCCTCACAGGTGTCCCTGTCCCTGACCCATGTCCCCAACCCACTCTGCTTTGTGCCAAGGACCCCACCGGGAGTGGAGGGTGGCAGCAGTCACTGGGTGGGGGAACAGGTGGCTGAGGACCTCTTCCCGGAAAGCACTGGGAGGCAGGACTGCATATGAGTATAGGGCATGTGCTTTGTTTCCCCATCAGACTTCACTTCTAAACACAAATTCAAAGTAAAATTGTTTATAATTTCAAGACTATGGTAGCAGAGCATTAAAAGCCAAGCGTGAGGCTCCTTTTTGAGCACAGAGTCCTGTGTGCAGTTACAGGCCCCTGAAGCTTGTCCTCTACATAATAAACATATATCACATAGAAATAGTGGTGATTTTATGGCTTTTTTCTACTTTAGCTTAAAAACTATTTAGGTTAAAAATTATTCATACCAAGGGTGAAGTTATGGGCGCATTCTGCCCTGGGTAGAATCATTAAGAAGGTGCATTGTCTCTAGAAATTTATAAACAATAATAAAACGAACTAAAAGTTGGTCTATTTTATAGTGTCATCATGCACCAGCAACTCTAAATGTCACTGATAAAATGTTTTTCACAAAATTCTTTTGTTTCTCTAAGTTCTAAGCAATTGCTGTGGTTATTGTTTTAAAAATATGTATATATGATTCAAATTAACATGTTTTTATGATGATCTTTTAATAAACATTCTTTCTACATTGAAATAGAATATTCAAAATAAACAATGAGGACACAGTAATTTTAAAGACAAAGAACTAGAAATAGAGTTTATTCAATTCTATTATTTTTCACGATCACTTGGAATTTTTTTAATTTAAAAATTATAACAATGAAACTTTTTGTTAGGTAAATGTAAATTTCATACATAAAATATTTCATTGAATACAAGTAATAACTTTGAAATTTATTCTTTTGAAAATTGTCACTTTAAAGAACAAATCACGAAAATAACGATTATTACTGAAATGTAATTTTGTTATGTAGAGGATAGACTTTATTTAAAGAGTATCTACTTCAGACATCAAATATGCTAAGCAAGTCATTACAATATGTTTGTACTTTTCTATGTCTTACTGCTCTTTCTTTTAATGAGGATTTAATCTGAAGTTCAGTTTCAAGGCCCATTTGTCAAGTACACAAAACTTATATTACTAATATCCTTCTGCTAGATATTTTGGTTTTAAAACAAGGCAAATTCTGTCTTAGAAGAATTAAGTGGAAAGATACCTTTTCATTCATACTATCTAAATAATTAAGATCAAAGGTAAGTAGCTTTTCTTTTTTGCTTGTCCAGATAATTACCTTAATTTTAATTTTTTAAGGGTATACTTAATTATAGGAATCCAAATATTTTTGTTATTTAATTGATTAGACTGCACCACTATTTATGCCTGATGGAGGCTGTTTTCTTTCTTTCTCCTTCCCCCATATTTTCTCTTCTCCCCTTCTGGCAAAGGAGTGCAAACACCTCCTGCAATACCCCTCCCTCATAGTATTTCCGTCTTTAGAACTCTCAACCAAGATTGAATTCCTCTGTTTACTCATCTGCCTTCTCCACTAGACAGGAGCTCTAGGAGAGTGTCGACTGTGCCCCTGGCCCTTAGCACAGAGAGTGCTTTCCAGGTAGCAGGTGCTCAGTAATTATTATCTGGATACAGGTAAATTGAATTTAGTGCTTGCTTCTTCTCAGTTTTTTTAAGTTAAAATGACCATGTACCTGATATAATTAATTTGTAGTTATTTGTTATATTTATGTGATAACTGTGGAGAATAGATGGAGAAGGGATAATGGTCAGAATAGGAACAAATGAATGGAGGAGCACAGAGGTGAGAAAGCTTGTTCTTTGGGTGATCTAAGTATATTTATGTATTCCTTTCTCCTAGGGCATAATGTTAAATACTTGTTGAGGAAGGCACTTTTTTTTTTTTTTTTTTAGGGAATGAAAGATGTTGTGTGTATGGGTGATGTCTGGAGATTTGCTCTGATGTTGGAGTAGAGGTTAGAGCAGCAGTAGCTAAATTTATGTGATGGTGGTCCACATGATCAGAAGCCCATTTACGTACACATTATATTAACATTTTATTGATACATACAACCCATTAATAATAAAAAATACGAGTTTACAGATTTATGAAGTACACCAAGAGCATTGTAATATTTTCTTTATATAAAAAGTGCAGCATTTTGGGCCTATTGCTAGTATGTGACAGAGCCAATAAATGAACATTGGAATTGAACAGCAGGAACCAATTTGGAGAAGTGTGGAGTAAATGATCAAAACACATTTTCAGGTTTATTTTTTACTCTAGGTTCATATCACAAATGATGCTTCTCTTTAACTGTTTCATCAGCTTTTATGAAAGGGAGTGTACTTTCCTGAAACTAGCTGAACTCAAATCTTTCTCAGTTACTCAAATATTTTAGGACAGCCGCTGTACTTAAATCCTCAACTTCTTAATTTAGGAAATATTGTGTCTCATTTGGTGATGTCTGGAGATCTGCTCTGGTGGGCTTGGTTCACTTTTCAGATAAGTTAGAAGCTTTTGTAATTGAGCTATGTTGGTAAAGATAAAATGCTTGATGATAATTCAAACAGTAAAGACAACCATGAAAATTTAAAGAAAGAGTAATACTTATATAAGAATCTATGGATCTCAAGGCTTCAAATTTTACAAGTCTTTTAAGTCCAGAGAAGTGAGAAATTAATACAGTTTATATTATTCTCAGGGTCAGTTCACATGATCAGTTTGAGTCTAAATAACTTTACTTCATTAACAGAGCAGCAGATCTCATTTTTTTCACTGAAGCTCTATGTTCAATAAGTTTAGTATCTTGTCACATTAGTATGAACTAGAAGGAAATGAGACCAGATGGGTCTATAACAGATAAATCAGACAACCCTTTAATACATATACTTAATACTAATACCATTTAATACTAATACTTAATACTAATATTAATGATTATATATGTTTGCCCAAATATTTTACTTTTAAATTTTTATATCTGTAAATATATGTCTTATATATAATATATACATATTTTTATATATAAATAAGTTTTCATATATAAATATATGTATATATTTACTTAGTTTTCTATTGCTACTGTAAAAATTTACTACAGACAGTGGCTTAGAAAACACAAATAATTATTTTACAGCTTTGTAGGTCAAAAGTCTGATATAAGTCTCACTGGCTTAAAAATGATAATGTCAGCAGAGCTGCATTCTCTTCTCAAGTCTGTAGGGAAGAATCAATATTTTGCCTTTTACAGCTTGCTTCTAGAGGCCACCTGCATTCCTTGGCTCACATCCCTCTTCTTCCACTTTCAAAGCCAGCTATGTAACATTTCTCTGACCCTGCTTCTATCCTCTCACATCTCTTTCTTGGACTGTAGACAGGAAACGTTCTCTACTTTTTAGGATTCATG